TATATTCTTGCAATACAAACGTCCAAAACCTTTACACTGTCAATAAAACCGTACCATTGTTCAAGTTTATAAACGTTTACGCTTTTATCTGTCTTGATAGACCGTGATTTAACGATTACCGAAAGATTCACCCATCTAAATCAAAATATAGGACAGTTCTTGACGACTGACGTTACACAAGCCGGGGTCAAGAGGGCATGTATTTTGCTACAAAYGCCTTACACATTTGGGTCTCGCAAAATTCCTCATTTTATTTACCCAAAAATTTTATGTTAGAAAATCAAAGAAGAGGTGATGACTGATCTTTAGAGGGCAAAATTTCATGGCAAAGCCATGTACCAAGGAGCATTTTTGACTTCTGAATCCTGCCTATATTTTCGCGTGACTAAATACCGCTAACACAGGTTATTATGAAAAATCTGGGAAATATTTTGGGTTTAACCAATTTTAAATCTGAAAAATGCAAATGGTAGGCAAAAGACAGTTCTTTGGTGTTCTGGCTTTAGTTTTATGAATTATGAATATGTATTTTTATGCGAACTGTCGAAATATCCCTTCATTTAAAGTCGTTCTCCCGGGCGTCTTGGGGCTCAAAATACAAACAAAAAAAAAATCTCAAATAAAAAATAATGATCTGAACCAACTGAGAACCATATTTCTAGAACTAGCTACCCAAGACCTTTAATTGGGCAGAGTTTGAAAATTTTCGATTTTTCTATCTTGCATAGGTATAGGCGATCCTTATGGAAAGCCCCTCTTAATCATCCATACTTGTTAAATGCATTAGTTTTCACTTGAGGGACGTCTGATTATGGAAAAGAGTAATATTGAATTTATGTGTGCAAAACGGGAAACGTAAATATAAGTATAGGTGTATGTGTATGCGATGTTTGTTGAATAAACGAAGAAAGAAATAGAAAGGAAAAAATGGATATCGTTGCATTCAAGTACTGCTGTAGAATACATTTATACGGTTAAACATAGTTCTCATGAGAATAAATAGGAGAACCTTCGTAGCACTCAGTTGATGTAATGTTTTCAGAAAATCTTTCGTATTTTATCGTCTTTCTATCAATTGTATTAGGTATGTATGTTTATAAACACATTACGTCAACTGCTTGCTACAAACGTAGACTCTCCCGAGAATAACATGGCTACCGCGTGAATAATGCGCATTACGCATGTCCCATTTTGAAGCATTGTTTTAACCCTGCCCTTAACTTGAAATACATCTATAGTACACTACCTGTATATATCACTGCTCTTGTTAGATGGCTCGCCATTCAATTGACCAGGGGCCATCCATGGGTGTTGCTCACCGATATGATTGATAGATGTACCTTCTGAAGTATCGTCATCGATGTTCTGTGCATGTTCGAAATTTCCAATTTTAGCCCTAAGATCTCCATCAACTAAAACGCTGTACGGATTGATATAGCAATGTAGAATCCTCTTCTTGTGGACGTATTCCATGGCTTTTGATATATCAAACAATATAGTTATCCTCTGGATCAAGCTCAGTTCTAAATTCCGCGACACATACAGTACATGATGTAAGTTGCCCAACTTGAAGTAATCGAAAACCAAACTGGTTAAATCGGTATTTGGTGAGCTGACGCCAGCCAGTATCATAGCAACGCGGGGATGACGTAAATTACTGAAAAAATATTTGATTGAGGTGTATTATTAAGGTATAGCTCAGGGTAGATTTTTGGCAATAGACCCCTTACAGTACGTCGGAATGCAACTCAATTTGGAGAACATAACAATAGGTTTCCAATTCTCATGAGATTAAATCATTTTCTTTTGTCCTCCAGATGGGCTCCTCTGACGTCACATGCAAGACGTCATCACAACTTCGGTACTCTCAGTTCTTCAGAAATAAATTCGGCAAATCATTATTCCTATCTTCACTGGATCGATCAGATTTTTAAATCAGATGTTAGTTTAGGATTAAAGTTTGTAATGACGAACGTATGTTCGGTAGGTGTCGGCGTTACCATAGCAACCGCGATAAGAAATTTTCTTTTTTCGCTTTCCATTTTCTTATTCTTCTAATTGCAGTTTAAAAACTAGACTTTCGAAAAGTCCTTTGTCCTCGCATCAGTTTGTTCACGAGCGCTGCAAAAGCACAGAGAGCCCAATCAGAATCACGCTCGCTTTGCTGGCTCATTATGGCGCGCGAGCTGTGGCGCACGCGCAAATTTTTTGATCGATATTTTTCTTATTCTTTTTCTCTGCAAATCTAAGAGAGGAATACTTGGGCAAGTATATTTCAAAACATATTCTATGTTTCCTACTAAAGTGAAGGATGAGACCTTGATTTTAATTTTGTTTGTATCCCACATGGAAAAGAGTGTCCATGAAAGATAAACCTCAGCGACATCGGCGCTTTTTTGGGTCTGCTGGTCATAGCAAGGGGTTAATCATCTACGGTCTAGGGGCAGACTAACCTCTCCCTTAGGCTATAAATCCTCGGATAGTGGTGTCGGGGTCGAAATCTCCGGTGTAGCCGTAAATGCTTCGCGCTGCCATACGACGGTTCAGCACTCGATGTCTGGAAGTATGGTCCTAATTTTATCAAGCAAACAATTCAATCTTTAAAATCATGGCCGGTGTCGAATTGCAAATAAATGAAATCGTGATCCGGAAATTAGAAGACGAATTCTAAGTGTGCCGACTTGAAATCCGAAAAGTGGTCGAAAACTAACCGCGATCAATTTAATCGCAAAGACATTCAATCCAAATCAAAATCTAGGTATTTCAAAAAGATAATGTGTTCTTTTTTCTAATTTTATTTTCCACTTTAGGATCCACGATTTAATTTTTTCCACACCATACAGTAAGATATATCATGAACTTTTTTTATGTCGTATGCGCTGTACTGTGTAGGTAGCTTAAAATAGTTAGATTGGCTTTTTAGAGTAGATGCAAAATCGTCGTGAGAATTAATATTTTAATCTTCGAGCATCTGGTGTGAGTATCTGATTGATCCAGCGAAATATAAGGTAGGAAAATTATTTATCCATTTTACCAATCAGCAAAATAACCAACCAAGCCCCACTTGCCCCTTAAAACAAGTGTGTGAGGTCAATGAGGATCACAAACTATGGATCTTTTGCTTAGCAGGCAGCACACTAACCAACCAAGCCACGCTTGCTCCTTAAAACAAGTGTGTGAGGTCACTGAGGATCAAACTATGGACCTCTTGCTTAGCAGGCAGCACACTAACCAACCAAGCCACACTTGCTCCTTAAACAA